AATTTCTGCGAAAAAAAAATTCGAAAAAAGGCATTTTCTAGAGACGATATAGTGCAACGGTGAACAATTTGCGGACGCTTACTGTTGTACACCTCCTAGAGGACTAATTGCTATCAATGACTCGTCCCCGTCGCGCGTACACTCACTATATAGTTTGCTCGTCGTTGAGGAATAAACGCAGACGTTGCGGTTGTTATTGTTGTTGTTGTTGTTGTTGTTGTTGTTGTTGTTGTTAGGGTTAGGGTTAGAAGCGGTCGTTACCACCCGGTTTTAACTCGTTCCACGTCGCAGTTTTAACTGACGTGCGTTAGCAAGTGATAACGTAAGCCTATATGTATGTTCAGTGTTGGCAGGGCTGTAGGCTGAGCAATTTCCTAAGGGGGGCACAATACAATTGTGCCGTGTTTGTGACTCAGCTGTGTAATGATGAGCGACGGGCGCAGCTCTTGATCGACGTCCATAGTGTGGTAGGGGTGGGTCTGAGACAAGGCTTTCACTCATAGTTAACCAAAAAAATCACGTTAGAGTTATTTACGATTATTAGCTAAGCTTATTTTTTAATTTTGCTCCAAAATCTAGGGGGGCACCTGGCCCCCTTGCCCCCTTGCCTGCCCCCACAGGCTACGGCCCTGGTATAGGTCCACGCTTATGATAATGCGAGGCATACACATGTATAATCATGTACATATATCTATACTAAATTGTATCAAGTGTACAACTGTATACATTGTACATTTGATACAATTGTCAACTGTATAAATATATTTTATGGTTTAACCTATAATAATGTATAATTTGAAAACACGTTGTCACAGCCTACTCGGATGATTCATCAATAATTCTACTATACTCGGGTTCAAGAAGTTTACGACATTGAGACATTTGACACTACGCAGGTGAGACATTGCGCGTAGTTGTCTGCTGCATTCAACTCCGCAAATACAGAGCGTACGCAATTTTACATATATTTTACAGTATCATGAAACAGATAATCAATCTTTTTGCGGCGCGACACAACAACAACAACAACGACAACAACACCAACACGACAACAACAACAACAACAACAACGACAACAACACCAACAACGACAACAACAACAACAACAACAACAACAATTTTGAAACGTTGGCCCGTTCACGTAAAGAGACTTATTCTGCGCTTTACGAACGAATTCTCATTCTCAATCCGAATTTCCATAAAACAGGAGTTTCAGGCACGCGATTTGTATCAACCAATGGGATTTGGGAGGTATGCAGAATGCAGAAGGTAGTTGAAATGATGTGTACGCAACTGCGTATCTGCATATGCGTCACTACGCACGACTTAAATGTTACGTTTATAACCGTAGCAACAGACTTCAGATGAGCCCAGACGCTCTGCGGCTCTTGTTATACATATATATGAGGTTTTCATTTTTTCTCAACCCACTGCCACCACCCCCACCACCACCACCACACCCACCTCCACCTGCTTTGTAACAGCTTGGTAGCTGTCACATTGATTTGTCTGTTACAAGTACTAACTCCTACACAATGCTGTAACTCGCTCAGGCCTGGCTGGGCTGGCCAATTTTAGTGGGTAATCCAAACCGTCGGAGTACACTCATGGCATTTGCTATGTATCGATTTAGCGCGGTCGGATTTCGCGCGCCGTGATCGGGAAAGCTATTGCGTTTCACGCTCGAACGCAAAGTGTTTGCTTCAAAGGCGGCTTAAACAAAACAGCTTGTTTTATCAGAGGTTTAATGAAATTCTCTTTAGCACCATTCGGCATAAACACATGCATTTATATTAGCTTGATTTCATAAGCAAGTGTTCCATTATAGACTTATGCACGTAATCCTATTACTAAATTAACACTAGCCTTGTTTCACGTTATAGAAACCATAGTATTATGGCATTTCCCGTGCTTAGCTTTCCTTTTACATGGCTATTAAAAATGGGCAGCGAATTTTCCGTTTTCCACCATAATAAGTATAATTTATAATGTATAATTTATGAGCATCTGTAAAATCTACTATAGTACTAATTAAATATTACATTAATAAATATACTTAATTAAGTATCTCTATTCACGGGTATTGGTTAGGTAGACGGTCGAAATAAAGTGGTCACATGCGCTTTGCGCATTGTTAATCGTTATCACGTGTTGTTACCTCCGCCAAGGAATGTTTTCGCCCGTTAGTTTGTTTGTTTGTCTGTCAACAGGATATTTCAAAAAGTTACAGGCGGATTTTGATGCAATTTTTTGGACGGGTTGGTCGTGGGCCAAGAACCAATCGATTAGGTTTTGGTGGTGATCCGGATCCAGATCTGGATTCAGGATTTGTTGTTGTTGTTGTTGTGGGGAAGACTTCAAATGCATTCAAAATTCATCCTGGATCTTTTTTTTTTAATTTCTGAAAATTTTATTAAATCTTCTATATTGTGTGTACCAGCAACATGGGGGGACTGTTACGCTGTGAAGGAGGTTTGCTATCTTCGATTGCTCTTGTTACCGTGTGTAATCGTGCGTCTGCTCCGTTTCCGCGGCGACAGGTGCCGCATCACTCCGGCGGCACGTGTGGCGACACCTACTGGGACCACTACTACAAGCCGGAGCTGTCCGAGAAGCTGCGAGGTTTCGTCTCGACGAAAGGCCTCGACAACAGCCTCAGGTAAACTGCCTCACTCTTGAGAACCACTCTCATGAACATCTCGCGAACCTCTCATGAATTTCTCTTACGAGCATCTCTGGCGAACGTCGCTCACAAAACTCGTCAACCTGTCGCGAACTTCTCTCGCGAACCTCTTGTGAGCCTCTAGTGAACCCCTCTCGTGAACATCTCATGAACATCTCTCATGAACCTCTTATGAACCTCTCACACACATCTCTCGTGAACCTCTTATAAACCTTTCACGAACCAATTATGAACCTCTTATGACCCTCTTATGAACCTCTTATGAACCGCTCTCACGAACATCTCTTGCCATCTTTTCTCGTGAACTTCTCTCACGAATCTCTCTTGCACACCGCTCTCACGAATCCGCCCCGTTGGCTGCAGCAGACGGGCCAGTGCTGTCTCTACTACCAACGCTCGAACTTTGCAGCGTGGCAGTAATGACGGTTAGGGTTAGTGGTTGGGGTTAGGGTCAGAGGTTTGGGTTAGGGTTAGGTTGAGGATGACAATGAGCATTGAGGATTAGGGTCAGCAATTTGGGTTATGGTCAGAGGTTAGGGTCAGTGGTTAGGGTTAGGGTCAGAGGTTTGGGTTAGGGTTAGGTTGAGGATGACAATGAGGGTTAGGGTCAGCAATTTGGGTTATGGTCAGAGGTTAGGGTTAGGGTCAGTGGTTAGGGTTAGGGTCAGTGGTTAGGGTTAGGGATAGTGTCAGAGGTTAGGGTTAGTGTCAGAGGTTAGGGTTAGGGTTAGGGTCAGTCAATAGTAAAACCGTACTGCGTCAGATGTGTGTATACATAGTTAGTAGTTATAATTTTTCGAGGATTGCTGCATTCTCGGCATGCTATAGTGCACCTCGCTGCTTCGCCCCTACAGCATAAAAAACATTACTAACCATACACTGGACAGGTTTTACGCCGAACCAGATACGTGTGACTTGCCCTCGTCAGCAGTGCACTGCTCCCCCCGAATTGACTCTCGTTACCGCGTGCACTGATGTTGTCGCAGGCAGAGAAAAAAACTATAAATGCGCAAATGGGTCCCCGACCCCGCGCCTCAGGCCGGAAAAAATCAATTTGCTGTTTATAGCGGCGTATCGTATAGGTTCCGATCGCGTGCCGCAGCTGCTGCTGCGGTGTTGATGATGGTGATGATGATGATGATTGTGTCAGATGATTTCAATGTCAATGTCAATGGACGTGCGTGTGCGCGCACGGAGATTCGCAGCTGTGCAAACAACAAGAATATATTCTTGAGTTCTATATTCTTGTTATTCTATGTTCTCTATATTCGTGTTATTCGATGTTCTCTATATTCTTGTTATTCTATGTTCTATATATTCTTGTTGTTTGTGCACAGCTTTTTGGGGTGTGGTGTACTCGTGTTCAGGCATATTCGTAGATGGGCTGTGGCGGTAAACGTTCTAGTGAGTATCAGCTTATGCACGCACGCACGCACGCACGCACGAACGCACGTACGCACACACTCGGATGTACATTTGCACGCACGCACGCACGCACGCACGGACGGACGGACACACTCGCATGTACATTTGCACGCACGCACGCACACACATACACACACATACACACACTCGCATGTACATTTGCACGCAAACACGCACACACTCGCATGTACATTTGCACGCACGCACGCACGCACGGACACACTCACATGTACATTTGGACGCACGCACGGACACACTCACATGTACATTTGGACGCACGCACGCCCACACACAGACACTCGCGTGTACATTTGCACGCACACACGCACGCACACACGCGTGTACATTTGCATGCACGCACGCACGGACACACACATGTACATTTGCACGCACGTACGCACTGACACACCCACACGCGCACGCACGCACCCACCCACTGACACGCGCGCGCACGCACGCACGCACGCACGCACACACAAGATCTCCCCCAAGGTATTAACTCTTTGCCAAAGCTCACTCGATTTACAAATAGGGAAGTGCAGAATCTCTCTCTCTCTCTCTCTCTCTCTCTCTCTCTCTCTCTCTCTCTC